ACCCCCATTGGGCTTCCAAGGCTGTACATCTTTATGGAAGCAGACTGCCTCATCTTTCTTCCACAGAGTGGCTGGTGTGTTTGAGCCACTGACCTTTTGGTTAGCAGCCAGATGCCTTAAACACTACACCACAAGAACTCCTTGAGTTTAGTAAGGTCGATTATAAAAACCTTTGTATCTTCAAACTGTATGATGGACTTCTCAATAGAGACTATCAAGCAATTTTTATAACTTGGTCTGATCTTGTTTGTGAGCTCCAGGAGGACAAGAATGGTCCTTATGAATTGCAGCCAGTGTTAAGCAAGAAACACACAAGAGTACATTTATATGACAGGAAAAACCAATGTGCCTTGTTAGACATCAGGATCGTAGTTATCCTTGGGGACAGGACTATGTCATTGTGATTGGAGAGTGTCCACGGGCATCTTCTGTTATTTCTTTTACTGGGTGCTGGTTATGTGGGGTGTTCAGTTTGTGAAAATTCATTGTATACTCATCAAACATGCTTTATTCTGTGTATAAATTATTATACTTCAATTAAAGTTGAAAAGTCTTTAGTAGTGTATGTTGTGGCGCATTGATACTCAGAAAATCTTCATTTAGTTGAATCAGTTTGAGATGATGCAGAATTATTTATCTAGATATCGGGAAAACGTGTACCTAGAAGTGTCAGGTTTATATGGACAACACTTCTAACGTCATTTTTTTCATTCTATTCAAATGTATTTTAAATGGATTCAGTGTAGACTCTCCTGGAATAAAGAATTCTGTTGCTTTAGTTCAGCAAACATTTATTGTGAACAAGGGACGGTGCCAGCACTGCTAGGTGGGGACAAAGAAGAATATGCCACCACCTTTCCCTTGCATTCTGCAGAGTTGAAGTTCATTGACAAATGTCGTGAAAAGAGGAATATGCCTCAAGAAAAGTATAAAGCACTATGGGGGTTCATGTTGTTGTTGTTATGTGCCGTGGAGTCAGACCTGACTCATAGCGACCCCTCCTTGGGTTTCCAAGGCAGTATCACTATGGAAGTAGATTGCCCCATCTTCCTTCCGTGGAGTGGCTGGTGGGTTTGAACCTCCAGCCTTCTGGTTAGCAGTCAAGTGCCTTAGGCACTGTGCTACCAGAGCTCCCAGGGAGGTTCATAGGAAAGAAAAACTCAGAGGAAGTGGCATTTGAAATGGATCTTAAAGAATATGTAGGATTTTGATAAGCAGAGATGAATGGGTGAAGGCATTGTAAATATCACACATATGAGAAAATCTACAGACATCTCACATGCTTTATGGGAACTTTGGATTAAAAGGGTCACTTAAGATGAATGAGGTCTTTCCATTGCAAAATGAGGCCTAAAATGTAAGCTAGGGCCTTACACTGGCCACCTTGGAAAGTATCACATAATTGGAAAGCATTAAGGGACCAAAGAAAGTTTCTGCAAAGTAGAGTGATATGATTAGATCTCGTATCTGTGATGAGATCAACTTGTAGCCACAGTGATCAGTCACCCTGCCCCCCAACATAAAGGTGTCTCTGGAGAGGTCGATGATCAAGTGCTTGGCTTTCACCAAAAGGTTGGTGATTCAAACCCACCCAGGGGCACCTCAGAAGAAAGGCCTGGTGATCTGGTTCTGAAAGATCATAGCCATGAAAGCCCTATATCAAGCACATACACAGTCCTACTCTGAAACCAGGATTGCCGTGAGGCAGAACTGACTCAGTGGAAACCAGTTTGGTTTTTTGGGTCCCTCCCCTCCCCACCCCAGCCCCGCCCCGTCCAAATAAGCATTTTCTAGGTGTAGTGCCTTCTTTGTTGCTAAGTGAAACCCATTCCCGTCTGAGTCTGCTGTGATAGCTACCTTGAGCTTCCTGGGGTTATTCTTCTAGGGCTTGAGGATGATGATTGTACATCTTCTTTATTTCCAATACTTACTCTTCCCTCTTGACTAGATACAATTCCTTCGTTCTTTTTTTCATACATCCTACTGTCTTTTTTTTTTTTTTTT